TGGGCCCTCTCAACAGTCTCGGCATAGGTAAAATAGCCGTGGCCAGCTATTAGCATGAGAAGATCTCGTCTAAGGCCATACAGGAAACGAGTGACCTTCTTCTCTTTTGTATCCACTAGATGTCGGGCAAACACGCTCAAACGGGAGAACTCCCGCTCGTATTCTGTCACAGTGCAGTTCCTCTGACTAAGGTTTATGAACTCTCTCTCCATCTGGTCGCGAATGTGACGAGGATAGTACTTCTCAGTGATGATCGCTTTGAGCTGTGCCCAAGTCAAAGCATCTCGCTCATTTACCGGCTTTAGGCGCCAATAGTCTTCCCACTATTGTCCAGCTTCGCCCTCTAACATGTATTCCCCGCAGACCACCTTCTGGGCCTCAGTACACGCCATCAAGCGAAAGATGCGCTCCAGCCTAAGGAACCAGTCGCCTACTGACAGCGGCCCCCCCTCTCCGGTGAAAGTCGGAGGTGACATCTTCCCGAACTGAGCAACAACCCGGACATGAGTCTGCTCCGGGGGTTGCTGCTGCTGAGGGTCACGCCTCGGAGGCATTTTCTAAACATAATGCGCGAGAAGAATTTTGAATAACTGATTAAAGCTCAAATCATAAATTTTGAACTTATCCAGAGTTCTCAATTGTTTAAGGAGGATAAGTTCTAAGCCCCAAATAAACATGCACGTGTTATTACTGACTTACTAACTCATACCTGGGTTCCGGAGCGGCTCAGAGGTGGTGACTGGTCATATATTTCAAAGGTATACAGAAACGCTAACCTGTCTCTGATACCAAACTGTAAGCACCCTCTACTTATACATTAAAATCATCAGAGTTTTTGAAAATGAATCGAACTTTACGAAAATAATTTAACTTTTAAAACATGCTTTGAGGGTACTTACTAACATATAACTAACTTTACTGTCATGACTGCTTTTAATCATTTCAGGATATCTGATCCCGACATAAACATGTTCAATTCATTAAGACCAAGCAGAGATACTACTCCGATAAATGAATTGAAAAACTGAAACTGGAATCCAAACAATGTTCAACATAGCTGATAATATCATGTTCGAAAAATAAAATGTTCAATAGCGGAAGCAATAAGTAAACTGCATATGACCACCACTAGCCCCTCTTGAGTCCCGCCCGGCATGCTAACCTGAAAATGATAATTGTGGGGGCTAAGAAATAATCAACGTGCTCATCAATATTCCATACTATGCAATTATTCATGATAAAAACAGGTACCGATAACATTGGCATATACATAAGTAAATCATGGTCTCATAACATGGCTCATCTGTTGGTTTACCGGCCAGGAACGCTAACCCACACGGCACGGCAAACCGATCTCGAGTGTACACCTCACCACCGGGAACGCTGACCCACACGATGGAAGATCCTGTCCTGGTAAACATTAAAAATTTCGGACATATCTATGTATATCATACATAGATATTACAAGAATTTCTTTATTTCTTTGTATATCAGACATATATGAGGTTTGGCTTATTATTATTATTATTATTATTATTATTATTATTATTATTATTATTATTATTATTATTATTATTATTATTATTATTATTATTATTATTATTTTGGTTCAAAATCGGACAAATTTCGACAGTGATGGAGAGAAAATGGTGAAGCAGGCGGTGTTGGATAATGATGTGCAAACCCTAACAACACTTTTTGCATTTTATACTATTTCCTAAGAACTGGCAGCCGTTCGATCTTTATATGTGTAACAAATTTGATCGTTGATTTTTTTTACACATTTGGCAAGTTTTGGGCTAACTAGCGGGCCTTCACTAGGTAAAAATGGGCTGATGAAATTGGGCCTTATATGACATCTTATAACCTATTTTCAACATCTTATGGATATTTTCTACAACTTATAACTCATACTTTGTGTCAACTAATATTTGATTAATGATACTTTATTTTTTTATTATTAATATTTTAATTTAAATATGTACATTTTAAATTATGTGTTATACAAATAAATTCAAATTAATCTTACAATACTCTTATTTTGACTAGGTACTATGGATTCAGATATTTGCGCTGGATCAACTGATACTAACCGTCAACTGAATATTGGATCACGTAGTTCATTAAGTGCTTCAAATAAAATGCCCTTCTCTGACATTACAAATGGTATTACATTTATATTTCAATATATATATATATATATATATATATATATATATATCGTTATATACTAATTTTTATTTTTTTAAATAATTAGGCCAGTATAGCTTTCATGAAAAAAGTTCGAATAATTCTAATATTCGTGGATCTGAAACCATCGTCATAGACATTTTGAGCGACAATGAAAGCGAAATTCCCATGATTATTACTCCACAAATCACGATTCCGTCGTCTAAGCGGTACAAACCATGTTCTGTACCAAATGCGAGTATTGTAATCGATTTAACTCAAGATGACCCCATTCAAGCCACTGTAACAAAAGAAAAAGCGTGGTCATCCTAGAAAGATTGTTGGATCAACATCAACAATATCTGGTTATTTTTTTTCTTTAATTATAAATATTAGTCAAATATTATCATGTTATTGTAATATAACATCTAATAAATTTATTATATTTTTAAAATTGTAGAATACTGAGACATGGGAGATGCAACCTACTGTTGTAAACATTGCAGAGCAAAGTTTTGGTACGAGGAAAGAAAGAATCATCGTTTAAAACCTGTTTGTCCAGATTACAGTGGTTTTTGTGTTAATGGTTTAGTAGAGCTTCCTTCCGTAAGAGACCCTCCACAATTTTTGAAAGATTTGCTTTATGGAGATGGCCACATGAGCAAACATTTTCAAGAAAATATAAGATCTTACAACAGCATATTTGGTTTCACTTCAATGGGCGGTAAAATTGATGCGGATATCAATAAGGGGTCAGGGCCGCCTGTTTTGCTTTGCATGGACAAAACTATCATTTGATTGTTAGTTTGCTTCCTACCGAAGGTTCTACTCCAAAGTTTGCGCAACTTTACATATATGATACTGAAAATGAAGTTTCCAACAGAATTAATGTTGTGAGTTATAATATTTTTTACAAAAAAAAATGATAGTTTCTTTTTTATTATGCTATTTCTTATTTATTATGTGTGTGTATATATATATGTATATTAACTTTTAATTATCTTATATACAATCTTTAAAATATTGAATTTTATTTGTTGTTGAGTTACGGTTCAATATAATTAATGTGGAAGGAAAGGATCTGATGATGCCAAATTGCATGAGGGTATTGTTGCTGGGTTGAAACAAATGTTAGACCAAGATAATGAATTGGTCAAATCATTTCGTATAGCGAGAGACAGAATGCAGGAGCTCGGGGAGGCTAATGTTAGAGTCCGTCTGATTGGTCGGAGAAATAACGATGGCAGACGATATAACCTGCCAACCAGTTCTGAACTCGCTGTGTTGGTTGTTGGCGATTTTGACCAAGCAATGGGTGAGAGAGACATATTGGTTGAAACCAAAAGTGGTCTTCTAAAGCGTATAAATGAGCTCAATGCTTTTTATCTGGCACTACAATATCCTCTATTGTTGCCTTATGGTGAGGATGGTTACCGAGTAGATATACTCTTCGCTGAAGGAAAAAAAACAAGTGAAGATGAAAGAAAACATGTCAGTGTCCGCGAGTATTTTTCTTACAGGATGCATGATAGAGACCATGAACCGACTACTATTATTTCAGCAAGAAGACTGATGCAGATATTATAATAAATATTATTATTATTATTATTATTATTATTATTATTATTATTATTATTTAATAAGTAGTAGTAGCTTAGGGAATAAGCTAAGTGTAGGGTTACAGGTTTATTTAAAGGACTCTCATCTTTTGTGTTAAGCAGTTGAATATTGAATGAAATAAGATATCGTGTTTTTCTTTTGGGAGAGTATCCCGTGTTCTGGAGAGAGTATCTCCTTGTATCCTTTTATCTTTTCCCACTCGTAAGTTTTTCCCTACATCAGTTGGTATCAGCAGTCAGTACGATTCGCGATGTCGCCGGGACGAGAAGATGCTGCAAACAACCAACGTGATGCCACCTTCCACGATCGGTTTCAACAGATTGACTACCGATTTCAAGAGTTGGACGTGCGTTTCACGAATTTGTTTGCCGATCTTTCGACGGGGATCGAGGATTTGTGTTTGACGCCAAACAACGTGATTGTTACGGAATTGCCGACGGACCGCGATGGAGGCCGTGACTATCGCGGGGGAAACAGAGGCGGACGTGGAGGACTCGGCCATGTCGGGGCGCCCCGACAGCGGTCCCCGCCACCTCTAAACGGAAGCAACGACTATGTTTCCACTTGGTCGATCAATCCTTTTGGCGACCGTCAACCGAGACGTGATGATGGCCACGTACCTGTTCACTTTCGCAACCAACCCCACAGCGACATCCTCGTCACTCGTGAGGGGGAACAGGCCCTGGACGATTACCAATTCAGCGACCACCGGCGATCAGACGCCGGATTTACGCCGGGCAACGACCAACAGGAGGGAGAAACCCTAGAGGCAGCTTATTTTCACGAACAGCGGTCGGCTGGGGCCTATTTGGAGACGCGCTACGACCGTGAAGACCGGCGTCCAATCGTTGACTTCGGCGACGGCACTTATCCCGGCTATTGGCCCCGCGACCGACAGTGTAATGTCACCGATTTAGGCGTTCCGCCAGGTCGCACACCTTTTTGGGGCTACTGGTTTGATGCGCCGTGGCCGCGCGATTCCAAGCGCCCGACAGCGGCTTTTGAGGGTTTTTCTAGCGACTTTAAAGCTCGCGATCTGAGGAGAGAAGACGGCGGCCGTTGTGCAACCTGGGAGAGAGATCGGCGCCGTGCTGCTGCAAGTTTCGCCGGTGACGGCGGCCGCGATGAGCAACGAGGCAGATGGACTGAGGTTGGGCCTAAGGTTGCTCAATTTTTCGGATTTTACAGAGAAGTGGCGAAGGTGCAGCGACGGGATTGGAAGCGAGATGTCTGGTACCGCGATTTGGGCGCAGAGCAGAGAAAAACTGATTGGCAGAGACGCATCCGAGAGATCGAGAATTTTCTTCCCAGTTTTGGGCCTGCGCAAGGGCGGCCCGTTTACATTTATTGTGACCAAGGGAGGGATGAAATTTATTCCCATTTTTGGGCTTGTGAAGTAGCTCCAATAATTGGGCTTGAACGGAGTGACTTTGGCAGCGAATTTTGTCCAGGGATGGGCCCGTTTCAAGCTGACATTTTTTGCTTCGACAAGGATCACGTTGACGGGTCAATTTACGACGGTCCGCCCATTTTTGACAAGGAGACTCTGGTGACGAAGACATTTTTTTGCAGTAATCTGGGTCCTGCATGGGACATCGCAACAATTAAGCCTTCAAGTGAGAAGCCGTCATTCACGCCCGACTTATTAGGTATTATGGCCAAGGATGCCTTTTTGGAGCCGAATACGATGCTCAATAACTGGTGGGCCATTTTCCTTTTTCCTATCGCGAAGTCTCCCCACAACGGGATGTTTGGCCGTTGTTATGGTTTTGAGCGCGACAAACGATGTGATATATTTTGTGTTAATTCGGCTGTATCGGTTTTGCGTATGGTGACGTGTTCATGTGCCTTCGCAACAGTTCAATCCTTAGCCGAGGTTCTAGGTCCGTTCGAGGTTGTTGGCAGACGTTCAACATTCGTGTTCGATCGAGGGAAATATCGGGGCTCCTCCAACGGGAACGTGTCGGATTCGAGGGCGAATCCTGCTCAACCGGGGGAGAATGATGCAGATATTATAATAATAATTATTATTATTATTATTATTATTATTATTATTATTATTATTATTATTATTATTATTATTATTATTTAATAAGTAGTAGTAGCTTAGGGAATAAGCTAAGTGTAGGGTTACAGGTTTATTTAAAGGACTCTCATCTTTTGTGTTAAGCAGTTGAATATTGAATGAAATAAGATATCGTGTTTTTCTTTTGGGAGAGTATCCCGTGTTCTGGAGAGAGTATCTCCTTATATCCTTTTATCTTTTCCCACTCGTAAGTTTTTCCCTACATCAAAGACTATATCAACAGTTTATTGTTGATGCATATACCATGGTTGAATCATCGAGGTTGCGATATATTCGGTTCAACCAAAAGAAACTCCTTTGTGAAATCTATAACGGTTTGGTCGATGCAGTTCTTCGTGGTGACACAGAACCCAGTTCCCGAGGAAAGAGGGTTATTTTTCCTTCTTCATTCACCGGGGGTGCTCAGAATATGATTCAGAATTATCAAGATGCAATGGCTATTTGTAGATAGGCCGATTATCGTGATTTGTTTATTACTTTTACATGCAATCCGAAATGGCCGGAGATTGTTCGTTTTCTTGAACCGAGAAAATTACGGCCAGAGGATCGACCGGATATTGTCCGTAGAGTCTTTAGATCGAAATTGAAGGAAATGATTAGGGATTTTCGTACAAAGGAGATATTCGGCAAAGTGATTGCAGGTGATATATTTTTTCATACCAATTATTTTACAACTAATCATTGTATTTGTACTACTTAATTTTTCCTTTATCAATATAGTAATTTTAATGTGTATTTGTAAATTTGACACATCATTTATTCTGCAGTTGTCTACACCATTGAGTTTAAAAAACGTGGATTGCCCCATGCTCATATACTTCTATTTTAGCTAAGGCTAACAAGTTCCCTAATCCTTCCGACATTGATAGAATCATATCAGCTGAGATTCTAGACGAATTATCTGATCCTTTGTATTATGAAGCCGTGAAGGAGCACATGATTCACGGGCCGTGTGGTTTGGTACGAAAAGGTTCTCCTTGTATGGTTGATGGTAAATGTAGTAAGCGTTTTCCAAAACAGTTTGTCGACTCAACCACTGTTGATGAAGAAGGTTATCCTCGATACAGACGTCGTGATGATGGGAGGTCTATTGACAAAAATGGTGTTGTTGTCCACAATGGATATGTCGTACCTCGTAATCGTGGTCTGTTGATGAAATTTGGAGCTTACATCAATGTGGAGTGGTGCAATCAATCACGATCAATATAGTACCTCTTTAAATATGTCAACAAAGGCCACGATCGTGTGACGACATCTTTCTATTAAACGTCAGCTGAAGGGGAACCTGAAAAACCTTTGGATGAGATAAAAATGTACTATGATTGCAGGTACATTTCTTCATGTGAGGCTGCATGGCGTTTGTTGGGTTACGAGTTGCAATACAAAAAACCTCCTGTTTAGCGGTTGAGTTTCCATTTGGAAGGACAACATCAAGTTTTCTTTGACGATGATGATAATCTTGAGTATGTTCTTAATAAATCCTCTGTGGGAGAGAGCCAATTTCTTGCGTGGTTTGAGGCAAACAAAAAATATCCGGCAGCACTGGAACTAACTTATGTTGAGGCTCCATCGAAATTCGTTTAGAATAAAACAACTCGCGAGTGGACTCCTAGAAAAAATGAAGACCAACCATCTGTTGGTAGTCTGCGGTATGTACCTCCTGGGTGTGGGGATGATTATTATTTGAGGTGTTTGGTCAATGTTGTTCGCGGTGCAACATGACATGAGGACTTCATGAAGGTTGGAGATGCTCAGTATATTACATATCGAGATGCTTGCTATGAAAGGGGTTTGTTGGAGGATGATAGAGAGTACATAGACGGCATCAATGAAGCAAGTCAGTGGGCATCTGCAGACTCTCTAAGACGCATGTTCGCATCGTTGATGGTTTCTAGTTCCTTCGGTATACCGGAAGAGGTATGGACAAGATGTTGGCAATATTTGTCGGATGACATTCTTTACAGACAACGGCGACTGTTCAACAATGATGGTATTTTACTATATTAGTTATATAATATTTTGATATACAAATTTATATTATTTTTAAATTTTGTGATGCTAGCTCATCATTTCTTTTTCAAATATTAGGTTTGTTGCTTACAGAAGAGCAAATCCAGAATCTAGCCCTTGCTGAGATTGAGTATTTATTGCGACGGCGTAGATCAAGTCTTAGTGATTATTCTACTATGCTCTTTCCTGATAGCGACAACATGAATTTAAATTCAAATCGTCTGATTATGGATGAGCTGAACTACGATCGAAAGGATCTTGCTGTTGAACACGCTATGCTTCTTGAAAAAAATGACGGATGAACAGAAAGGAGTCTACTCAACGATTATCTCATCTGTGGATTCTGGTGAAGGCGGTGTTTTTTTTGTATACGGATATGGTGGAACGGGAAAAACATATTTATGGAGAACATTATCTGCTGGATTGAGATCTAAAGGTCGTATAGTGTTGTGTGTCGCATCGAGCAGAATAGCATCACTTTTGTTGCCTGGTGGACGAACTGCTCATTCTCGATTTGGAATACTATTGAATCCCCACCAGGAGTCTGCTTGCAATATCACTCAGGGAAGCCCTCTTGCTGAATTGATAATACGTTGTACTTTGATAATCTGGGATGAGGCTCCAATGATTCACAAGCATTGTTTCGAAGCTGTACAAGCATCGTTGCAAGATATTATGGGAGCAATTGATCCTTCTAAAAAGGACAAACCATGCGGAGGCAAATCAGTTGTTTTTGGTGGAGATTTCCGACAAATCCTTCATGTTATTCCGAAGGGTAGCCGACAGATATTGTGAATGCTGCGATTAATGCTTCTGACATCTGGAGGAGTTGTACCGTGCTCAGGCTTACAAAGAACATGCGTCTTCAGAGTCTTAGAGATTCCGAGCAACGTGAAGAGGTTTCTCGGTTCGATGAATGGATTGCGAGCATTGGTGATGGGACTATAGGAGGGTCAAACGAGGGTTGTGCAATGATTGACATACTTGAGGATATATTGCTTCAACCATCCGATGATCCGATTGCTCAAATTGTAGAAAGCACGTATCCAATGTTTAAGCAGGCAACTGATGATCCCAGTTATTGGAAGGACAGAGCAATATTAGCACCGACGCTTGATGTTGTTGAGTCCGTCAATGAATACATGACATCATTGAATTTATCAGACGGTAACACGTACTTGAGCTCTGACACTACTTGCAAGTCCGACTCGAATAATGATTTTCTTTCTGATATCCCTACGTCCGAGTTCTTGAATAGTATCAAATGTTCAGGAATTCCAAATCATCAGTTGCATTTGAAGATTGGAACCCCCGTCATGTTATTGCGGAATATAGATCATTCTATGGGTTTGTGTAACGGGACACGGTTGGTTGTGACAAAACTATCCGCTCATGTTATTGAGTGTAGGATACTCACTGGGGATCATGAAGGCGAGAAGGTGTTGATTCCTAGAATGACTATAACTCCTTCCGATGTCAGAATTCCTTTCAAATTCCAGAGGCGACAATTTCCTGTTATGGTATCGTATGCAATGACTATCAATAAGAGTTAGGGACAATCGCTATCGCATGTTGGTTTATTGCTTAAGAAGTCGGTGTTCAGCCATGGGCAATTATATGTTGTTGCCTCCCGTGTCACAAATTGAAGTGGGTTGAAAATATTAGTCTGTAATAACGATGACTTGCCACCAAATCAGACCCAAAATGTTGTGTACAAAGAAGTGTTTACTAATTTATGAAGTTTTAAATTTATTTTTTTCCATTTTATATATGTTACGTATTCACAAAGTGCATTAAATTTAATGTTGATATTATAAAAAAAAACCCAAATAATATACCATCCGTACATCGCACGGGTCAGTACTAGTTTTTAATAAAAAGTAAAAGAAGAAAATAAAAATCATATGAGCGGGCCGGTAAGTTTGTAGTATTAATAAAAAGAAAACTGGAATTCCTGAGCGGATCTGCTTCCTGACCGCGGGTTTACAATTCTTTTGGGCTTGATTGATATTCAAGAGAAGATAGAGAAGATGAACATATTCAGGCTAGCCGGGGATATGACTCATTTGGCCAGTGTTGTTGTATTGCTCCTCAAGATCCACACTATTAAATCTTGTGCTGGTATGGCATTTCATCATAATCCATTTGTGTGAGTGTTTATGTGATTAAAATTGGGTTAGGTCAATGGAATAGAATTATTGCCAACAAACTTCTGTTTAATCTTCGATCTATCTATCGAGTAAAATTAGTAGTATTTATCTTGAGTGTGATGGAAATTGTTTCAAATGATGCTGACTGTATGTATGTATGTATATCTGTTGCTCGTTATCCATCAGGCAACAAGCTCATGAATAATTTTACATGGAGCGGAAGTTGTGTACTTGAATAGTAGTGTATGTAGTAATTAAAATGCAGAGTGTTCTTAGATTTCAGACAATTTAGACCTTCTCCAACCGTACCTCAAAACCAATCGCAAACACAAAAAAA